AACACCTCCCAGCCCATCGCGCCAGCCCTGGGGGGCACCGGGCCCAGGGCCACCCTGCAGCTGCCCAAAGCCAAAACCCAACGCCACTGTGCCTGCTAGCGCTGCGGTTTCATACCCTCTGCCCCCCGCCCCAGGGCCAGCCCCGCCGGGGGACGCACACAGCGGAGGAAGGAGCAGCGCTGCCCTGACGGGAACCGCGCTGCCCAGATTCTCCAGGACGGGCGGAAGCGCTGCTCTCTGCCCCGAGATAAACGCAAACGCTCTGGGCAGAGCCACTGAGCATCTCCCCTCTTCCCCATCAGCTCTGCAGCGCAGCACGGAGGTGCCAGTCCGTGAGACCTGGCAGCCACCGCAGCCCCAGGAAGAGATCGGCACCCGTCTCTGGTGTTGTGGTAGGCGCTGGCCCAGAGAGGACCTTGGACAACCCACCACTGACGTTCAAACAACGGAAGAGGCAACAAGCAGCTCATTTGAGGACTAATTTTATTGAAAACAATGACAGGGTATAACAGGTACAGACCGTTCTCAAAAATACAAGGCTAGAAGGGCTTTCTATCCAACTCAAAACCCTCTTCCACCTTAAAGCCAACCTGGTTCCTACCAGCTCTTCAGTTCCCCCCTGTAATTTGTGGAAGGAGTGCAACCGAACGGACCCAGAACGAGAAAGCGTCAGAGGGGAAGAAGGGCAGATCAGACCCCGGTCAAAGGAAGCTACGCAGAGCTGGCGACGCGCTGGTGAAGAGGCTAACCCAACAGCTGAGCTTTGCTTCATTGACAGGGTCCCAAGCCCACCCCAGCTGCATCTCCCCCTAACCAAAAGAGGAGATGCTCCCTTTCTCTAAAACACAGGAGCCGGGACTTTCTCCAGGAGGTGAAAGGCAGCCAAAAAAATAAAAACCACCATGCAAAAAAAATCACCCTTCCCCAAAGCACCACCCCCCCCCAAAAAAAGAAAAAGATGAGATAAGGGAAAGGGGAAATGGCATCACAACAAGGAGCTGGGGAAAAACAAAAGCTCAACATGAAAACAAAACCAATCCAAAGTAACCAGCTAGGATAAAAAAACACTATTGTACATCTCAGCTGCGAAGCTGTCATCCCAAGCCTGGTAACGGTGCGCGCGGTCTTGGAGAGCGTCGGGTGGTTTGCAGTGGGACCACGGAGGGAGAAGTCGAGAACATTAATCACTTTCTCATTTTACGTCGGGGGGGGCAGGATAAGACCAACCCGAGGCTGAACAGGGTTTGGCCATCTCAGCCTTTGCTGTTTTTCTCAGGGCTTGTCTGCACGGGGAAACAGAGCCGCCTGGTTACTAGGGAAAACGTTTCTGCCGCGTGATTCCCCAGCACTGGCGATAGCAAGGACTGAAAACGTCTCGTCCTGACCACGCTTCCGCCGGGAGCAGCTTGCAGGAACAGGCGGCGTAAAACAGCAGTTGTAGCCTTGATCCCCGGCAGACAGGTCCTCAGCTCAGCTTCATACTGGGTGACTGCGAGAGTAGAGGGCCATGAATTTAGGGGGCCTTTGCTCTTCGTCAGGTGGAGTACCCCAAACACTGGAAACGCACCCTGAAACCCAGACCTCCGGGGCATGAATTTCAGGAAAAAATGTTTTTGTTTTTTTAAGATTCAGTTAAAAATAGATGATGTACTTCTTTAAAAAAAAGTCTCAGGCCAGGGTATCTTCTAGTGACCCCTTTCCCCCCACCCCAAATTTAGCCAGAAAATTACTAGCCATTTCGACAAATTTGCTGGCCACATATACATTCACACATTCATCACTGATTTAAAAATATATAATAATTAAAAAAAAAAAATCCACAGCCGGTGCGTTTATCCTGTGATCATGTACAGTAGAAGATAGAAATCCCTTTTGCTCCCGTAACTCCTTGTCGGGTGCTCAGGCTGGGAGAGCGGGGGAACACATCAGGTTTTCACAGTGGAGCTGGTAGCGGAGAAGGAACCGCTCCTCCCTCCTCCCACGCAGTAGGGCTTTAATTTATAGCAAGTTAGATTAAAACTCGGAAACATGTTACAAAGTCCATTATATATAGACATAAAACGTACAACTGTCAGCAGCCCCTGTGCAAGTCGCTGGGTTTTCGATTTTGGCTGACCGGGGGGTGGCCGGGGAGCTCAAAGGCAGCTTGGGACGCCCCAGGTACAAACGCGGCCTCCAAATGAGCGCGTGGCACAGTGCGAGGTCTTACGTGAGCCCCAGGTGGGAAGGGAGACAGAGCAACCTCCTCTCCAGAGCGGGAGCCAGGGAAGGAGGAGGCAGGGACCACCGCCGGCATTAGACGCCCACACTCCGGACCGGCAGCGCGGGTGAGGACCAGGCTGCAGCGCAGACACATCCCTCCATCCGGGCCGGAGGGCAGGGGAGAGAGGCCGCTGCCCGGGGGTTCACTTGTCTCCCTGCCACCTTGCACCCGCACAGTGAAGGGGACGCTGTGCTTTGGATGAGGTGCTGTGGGCAAGTGCGGTGGGAGTGTGAGTTGAAGCTTAGAGTGAGCTGGGCTCATTTAAAAATGCTCCCCCCCCCAACCAAGTGATCGGTGCATTGATTCAGTGAGGGGGTGGGAGGGGGGCACCAGGCCTGGTGCTGCCTGGAAGAGTCATAAGACGTTCAGCCAGGCATGAAGTGGATAAGGCTGTGCCCAGACAGCCCCAGGGCCTCCTAAAGAGCTCCTAAAGGATCCTGGCGGCAGAGAGCTAGGCACAAAGGAAAGGAGAACGAGTCCAAACTTTGTGAGACGAGGCTTTCGGGCTCCCTGGCCCCATGCAGGCAGGGGAGAAGGGGAAGGGAGCACGAAAGCATAGGAAGAATTGCTCCCTCAGCCTTCCCCAGGCAACAAAGGGGAATAAACACAGAAATTCCCTGCACTTTGCACCAGGCTGTTGGGGAAGGGAGAGGCCCTTTCGCACCCTTCACTCGGGCCCAGCCTCCTGGCCTCGGCTCAGGTACCGTGGGCACAGGCTTCTCCCCACGCCGCTCACAGCACACGCCTGGCACCGGCTGGGGAAATCCTGAGCCTTCGGTCTCTGCAGCTTAGTCGGGAACGTGTCAGCTTCAAAAGGCTCATCCTGGGGGATTTCATGTAGGGCAAAGAGAAAAGAGACTGCAAGGCCAGACGGGCCCAGAGATGCCAAGGGGTTGGGGAAACGTGATTTGTGCAAACCACCATTAACACGAGTCCTCATTCGCTCTTCGGCAGGGAAGTTGGGGTGCTGGATGGAGGGGACCGTACGCAGCCGCGAGGTCTGAGAGTTAAGAGTCTTCCCCAAGGATCTCTGTCACGAAGGAGGCCATGTCAGTCTCTTTGGTGTCGTGCAAAGTAAAGAAAGGATGTTCCTGCCAACAAGAAGCAAGATAACATCAGCTCATGCCCAAGGAAAGACAAGCACAAGAGCAGTCCCTGGGGGATCCCAAAGCTCGCATAGACGCCATGGACGCTCAAGGGTTAATGCTTTCACCTTTGGCATGTCTAGGTTTAACCCCAGCTGGATGGCCCATCTCAGCAGTTTTACTACCATCACTTGAGGCTGTTAGTCTAAACTACCAAGAACAGATGAGAGAGGAAAAAAAAACCACTTAGAAGCTCCAAACCCCCTGACCTTAACACAGCCTTCCAGCTTAGACATGCTGCACCCACCCTGCTACGCACCTCCAAGGCTGAGGAGTCACCCCTATGTCCTCTTGTCCCTTTTTTAGGGCCTACTGGACCACTCATTTCACTTTTAACACATGCTGGAAGACTAAAATACCAGACGAAAAGGCTCCGCACTTACCATAAGTTCTAAATAGTTCATTCGCTCAGCAGGATTCTTCCTTAAGCTGGAAGAGAAAAATGGGAAAAATGGGCTGTGGGATCCTTTTTTTTTTTTTTCCTGCTGTACATGGTCTATCACAGGGGAACTCCCCTTTCCCAACCAACACAACCCCATTCCTCTCCCTCCTTGGCCATACAGGTTTGAACCACAGGACCCTGCAAAACCCCAGGCAAGTAACTGGAAAGGGCCAACTTGCAGTATTTCGCCACAAAGAGAACAAGCCAAGCAGCTTGCTAGCTGCAGTCTGCCATTCACAACCTTGTTCTTCCCCACAGACCAGCACAAACGGGAAGGAGAAGAGATGGTTTCCCACCACTTGGGAGAGTGCGCAGACTCTCAGGGCTCATTTGAGACTCAGCTCGGTGGGCTCACCTCTGTCTAGCAGCTCAAAGCAAGCAGGACAGAGGCAGCAGAGCTATACCCCAATGGGAGCAGCTCGCCAGCTACTGCACACAGTCCCCACAAAGCCACAAATCAGCTTTTACCCAGAGGCACCAGACACTGCCAAGGGTTTGTTCTTGTTTCATTGCCACTTTGCCAGAAACCACCAAAATTTCAGCAGCATTAACAGCAAAAGGGGAAGAGAAACTTCTTCACCTTCCAAGCAGCTGAATGAGTCAGGCTGAGAGCAAAACCAGTCTGGGCAGCACTTCCTGCTGTGGCCAAATGCCAGCCTTGGGATGGGGAGGTGGGTGGGGAGAAACAGGCTCCGAAATGGTGACAAACCCAGCCCCATGCTTTACTCCAACCCCTACGGACCAGGACCCCTCTCCAGCCAGGCTGGGAGAAGCAGCCAGTCCCTGCTGGAGACTCACCACTGTGCCGTGAAGTCCACAAACTCCTTGGAGAAGCGATCAGCAGGCAGCTGGGGCGAAGGCTCCTCCACCACTTGCTTGAGCTGCTGGAAGGGAGTCCCCCAGGACTCGTACGGGAAGCGAAGAATGGCCAGTTCGATCTGAGGAAGACAACAGAAGGCCTGAAGACCAGGGCTCATCCCCACACAGCCTGCCCTCCTCAGTGTCTGAAGCAAACTTGGATTCAAAATGAAAAACCTCTTTCCTCACAAACCAGTTTCGATGTGGGTCAGACCTTTTTTTTTTTTTTTAAATAAGGAGACCCAGAACCTAAAAATACTTCCTTCTGAGGCCTGCTCAGCAAATTAACACTCTTATAGAGAGCAGCCAAAGATACACAAAGCGGGATTATTTGGAAAGATAGTAACACCAATGCACACCATTTCTGCACTAGCTTCTGAAGTGCTAAACTGGCCTCTGGGCTTCAGACTAGTATATTATGAGCTAGACACAAAAAATCCACAAACCCAAGAAAAAACAAGTGCTAGAGTATCATTTAGAAAGATCTTTGCCAAGCCAGCTCGGCTGAGTCCTTTGCAGCAGGTCTCTCTGCTCCATCACCCATCCAAGCAGAGCACAGCCTGTTACAGATCCTAGGCAGCCTCCTCACAGCAGGGGTGTGCTCCTGCCTCGACACATATGGCAAGGCCTCCAGACCTGCCTAGCAGGGTGGGACAGGATCGAGGAAAAAGAAATCTGAAAGGATGCTAGGCAGAGCAGAGCCTACATCTGCCTACATCTGGCTCAGATCTGGGGAACTGCCTGAGGAACTCATCCCTGCTGCTGGAAAACTGAATAAAACCACCTTCCCGGAAAGGCCTGGATTAGCCCTGTACCTCTCTGACCCTAAAAACCAGCTGCTTTGAAATCAATCCTACCCCTTCAGAAATAAAAAACAGGAAGCTAGCCCAGAAGGAAGACATTAGAAGGAATCACACAGGTCGGGGCTCCATTCAGCTGCAGGCTGGCAGACTTTCAGCAAGGTCCCCTCTCCAATCCAGCCTTGAAAAGGTTCAGGGATTTTGTCATTCCCACAATCTCCCATCCCACCGCTTCCTGCATCTCAGGAGGAAAGCCAGAGCCTGATTACATTTCCAGCCTGCTTCACAGCTGGCCAAGCAGCTTAGCTCTGCGCCGCACTGGCACGTGGACACCAACAGGAAGAGGGGCTTGGTTTTGGCATTGTGGACAAGATTGGCTGGAGAAGAGGCAATATTTGCCCAGAGATCTGTGTAGCACACAAAAACACAGGGATGCAAAGCCCAAAACTAAGGTCACTGCTAAGAAGGCACAGGAAAAATTCCTGAAAATAATCTACCCACAGAGAGGGAGTTTCCTGGAAAGCAAGAGAACCGTTCCCAGACAGCATCTCCTTCAAACCAACAACTGGGATTTCCTTTGTCCTCCGGCACCAGAAGACTTCAGCCGTTTTCTGTAAGATAGGATTCTTGCAGGAGGTAGATAAATTGTCCTGAGCAGCTGTGATTTTGGAACTGAAAGTACTTCACCTTCCTGTTGGCTGCTGTAAGCTACCTCACAGGCAGCACTGCTGCAAACCACGCATGCTACCCCAAGCTGGAGCAGGGGAGACTAGCTCGTCCTGATACTCCTAGGACGCTTTGCTAACGTGGAAGGGTTGTGCATACAGGAAGGCTGTGACACAGCCACAGCAAACCCTGCTCCTTGTAACCAGCTCCACTCACTGCCTCTCCAGCCAGTGCCTAAGGAAACTGGAAAGCAAAGGCTTAAAGGTGGTTTTAAAATCGAGACTCTTGAATGCCCAAGTGGGCCCACTGTCATGCAGATATTGACCCCTAGGAGGGTGCAGGACAAGCCATCATAGTTAAGAGCTAACAGGAGGCATTCGGAGCTGCATCCTGCACAGTGCACTCTGGGAAACCCAAGAAGAAGGGTACGCCGGGACCACGCTGGGATAATAGGCCTCAGGATCCAGCAGGAGCATGCGAGAGAGGAGAGGAGCAAAGAGAGGGGGCAGGCAGATGGGCTATCTCCAGTCAAGCTAATGAGCAAACTCAGCAAGGGCCATGGCAGTGGTGGCAACACCTGGCTGCACACACTGGCTCACAGCTATCCGCCCTGGATGCAGAGAGCAGCTCCGCAGCACTGTGTCTTGGACAATTTGGCTCATGCCCTAAGTAACAAGCTCAGAATCAGTCTCCAGCCCTCCTGCATTACCATCGTGATCCCGAGACTCCAGACATCTGACTTCACGTTGTAGCCCTTCTGGTTCAGCTCAGGGTTTATCCTCTCCGGCTGTAACAGCAAAATGAAAGATACTACAGTTCTATCCTGTTTTCCCAGTGCAAACCACACAGAGCAAACCTCTGGCTACAAAACCCAGGCTGGATGGATTTTCCTGGGTCACGTTCAGGCACAGACCTTCCCAAGAGGGCAGGGTTCAAGGTTGTATCTGCAAACATTGATGAAGGCCACATTTTTCTCCGCATAACCCACACGAACTCTCCTTCAGCTCCCAAGCAAGACTTGTACAATCCACGTACCGTGATCCCTACCCCAGCAGCGCTATCTACCCCCAGATACGCCATGGATGCCAATGGAAAATTCAAAGTGAATTGAGAGGATGAAACAAACTTTAAAATGATCCTGCCAAGAGAAGCCTCAGCATCTTCTAGCCAGCTAGGAGTAGCCCTTTAAACCACCACAAACAGCCAGGCACCCCTTTACCCTTCTGCAAATGGAAAGTGATGAAGGAAGAGTCCGCTGTAGGATTAACACAAACAGTAGGGCTTAAAGGGAGTATAATCCCGTCCTTAGAGGACTCTGCTGAGTCAGGATGCCCAGAGCACACTGCAGTGGTTTCTATATCGCAGGACAAAGGTGAACCAGGACTGCTTTCTAAGCGACAGCCTCTTAAAGTCAAGGCTAAAGGCAGCTGAAGGATGTTAAGTTAGATCACACATGAACACACTTACAGCCATGTACGGCTTGCAGCCAGCATCCATGGTCTTTGCCACGGAGTCCACCAAGTAGCCACTGATTCCAAAATCACACATTTTCACATGTCCCTCCTTGTTTATAAGCACGTTGGAAGGTTTCACATCTAAGAGAGAGAACAAGAGACAGCAGCTCAAGCTTTTTGCTGAGGTACCACTGAGCTACTAGAGGAGCAGAGCCTGTGAGAGGACTAGAAGGGTCTTAAAACAAGCGAAAAAAGGCAAAACCCCACCATTCTTTTGTTTCAATAAAGGCTGCTCATGGCAAACTAGAACTAGGCCCTCAGGACAGAAGGGGCCTCCTATCTAACAAAGCAGGTCAAAAGGCCCTTATGTGGCTGAAATAAGATGCTGGGGAGTTAACGTCCATCTCCTCAAGGAGAGAGTTATATGCCCAATGCAGCCTTAAATGCTCAACTCCCATCGAGTTCTTGGGACAGCTCATGTCTCCATCATCACGATCTGTCCAGAGGTATACAAGGAACTACATCAGGATGAAGAACAGGACCTGGGCATTACAATTCCCATCCTTGATTTGCAAGGTCTCTTTCAGACCACACCTCACTGAAACTATCCAGGCAGCAAAGCCAGGGGAATTTATCCCCAAGAGCCACCTGCAATTCATCTCTCTACTCAGAGGGAGAGAACCAGAGATGCCCGTAACAATACAGACAGTGAGGAATTCAGTCATAATGTTCAACTCTTTGTCTACAAAAGGGGAAAAGAACAGCATCAGGCAAGCAGACACACAAAGGGTACATCTCAAGGTCAGGCCTTGGGCATTCAGGTCTGTCCACCAAGGTCCCAAACTCCATTAGACACCACTGTAGGCATCCCAGAAGCACACACTCCACATATTTTGTGGGAAGGACTCCTTACCTAACCTATTTCAAGGCTAGCACTCCAGCCACGTCACGCTAATCCCATTCAGTACGTACCTCTGTGGATCACAGACAGTTTACTATGCAGATGCTCCAGGGCTCGTACAATCTAGTGATAAAAAGAGCGAAAGAGTCAGTCACACATAGCACCAGCCTTTCACTGCAAACACACCGCCCATTTCCAAATGCTGTGTCCCTGAAAAGAGACCTCCAAAGGGCTGCAGTCAGCAAACCCTAGTCTGAAAGCAAAACGTAACCTTACGGTGCCGAGTTACACATGAGGTGTGTTATGCATCACCGCAAGGCTCAGGGGATACACAAAACTACATAGGAACCCGAGAAGCACTCACAGACACGGCCATTTTCCCCAAGATGTCTTCAGGGATGGTTTTTTTCTTCTCCAGCACCTTCTTGTAGAATTTATCTAGGGAGGTGTCCATGAGCTCCATGCAGATCCACACATCGCCCTGCAGACAGAGAAAAGCAGTTGATGGGGGAGAGGGGATACCCTGGCACCCCAGGAGCTGAAGGGAGCGGTGTGGACAGACGCTGCCTTCAGGGCAACCTGAAGATCCCGTTGGGCAGCCACTGTTGGCCTCAGGCCAGCACACAGGCTCTGCACTGGACAGAGAGAGACACAGCTGTTTAGGTATCACTGATACTACTACGGAAGCGAAGAAAGGACCTCAGTCCCTTGGGTAGTGTGGGAGCTGAACGCTGCCTGAAGCAGGCAAGCTAATGACTTTAAATCATGGCAGCACCTCAAATAGCCTAGTTTGGCTGAAGAAAGCAGAGGCGGTTCGAGAAAAATTTGCACCTCCAGTAAAATCACACACCCAAGCTGCTGCATAGCCCACCAGCTCTCACACTATCTCACTACCTCTCGGAAGAGGGCTCCATAGAAGGTGACAGTGTAGAAGCAGTCAACTGTCCTCATGGAGATGTCCAAGTCCATCAATAACCTCTTCTGCTCCTGCGTGTTCACAGTCGCTCGAATCCTCTGGGACAAAAAAAAAAAAAATTTAGGAAGAGAAAAAAAATATGGTTTTTGATGTAGGTAGAATAACACTATAATCTGAGGAGGGAGGTTCCCTCACTCTGACTCAAAGGACCTGCGGTTTTGAGTCCAGGGCAAGCGTTTTGCACTTTTTTTGCAGATAGTAGCACTCCAGGGAGATGCCCAGATCTCCTCTTTCAGAAAGCACCCTAACAAACTACAAAACCTTGGCAAACTCTGCAGCAGACATGGTATCAGGCCAGCAGCCTGAATGGGCACTCTGACATCCAGACTCTGCGGTGTCTAACTGGGTGTGGGCACTGAGCCTGGATTTCAGCACCTGCTTATCGAGAGCAGTAGTGCCCAGCCGGTATCAGCGCGGAGCCTGCTCACACCCTCACAGCGGCCAAGCTGTAACAGGCTGCATGCAGACACTGGAGACTGCCAAACCAAGACAAGCCTCCCTCATCTCCATGTCCCCATTTTGCTACGACCGGGAGAGTTCAGCAGCAGAGTCTCTCTGCTCCCAATTCCCCACCCCGTCAGCAACAAGCAGTCCTCACCTTCACAGCCATGATGGTGCCGCTCTGAGCATGCCGGACTTTCTCCACCACGCCGTAGGCCCCCCGGCCCAGCTCTGAAATAGTCACCAAGTCATCAGCCTCCACCTCGAAGTTCTTTAGGGAGAGAGACAAAAATCAGACACGCACCTGCTTATCGCCAGAGACATCGGCAGAGGTTCAATACTAGCACCTCACTGATGCAGAGCGCTGCCAAATGACGGGACCCCAGCAGCTCTTACATGTAGGGGAGGCACTACACTTAGAAGAGAAGATGAATACACTTTTTGCTCTGTGTATGCTGAACCAGAGCCCAAACCCTCTCGCTCTACTCACTAGGGCTCATTTAATTTCTCCTCTGTAGCTGGAGATCAGGAGTTTTATCCTTTACACCAGGGCACGTTGCCACTGGAAAGGGCAGCAAAGGTTGGTGCCTCTTCCCCTGTTCAGGATTACCGACACGAGGGTATTTCTGTGGTTGCTGAAACAACTTGCAGCATTTTATCAGCTCCTCTGCCAACACGGGTGGCAATCGGGAGCCTCTGCCACTTCCCGTTCCAAATCCCCATGTCCAGCTGGGGTTCCCTCGCTGGGCCCCGGGTGACTGTCGGTCACAAATAACACCTAGGTGTCTAATAACACCTCAGCTTAAGCAAAGCCTCTCTTAGATGGGATGGCGCACACAGCAACACATTGACTCAGCTCCTAATATCAGGGAGCTCAAACGAATTCTGCCTTTCAACGCTTCTCAACTCCCACCATCAGAAATCAGCCAACAGGGTAAAACGCGAGCTAGCGCTGAGGAAAGAGCTTAGGCAAATGCAATTACATAAGCCTCATTTCAAGCAGGAAAAAGTCCCCAGTGCTCAGACAACCCAAGCGCCCCATGCAGCAGGGAGTGAGCGAGTTTCTGTGCAACCCAAGAACAAGTTTCCCTAAACACGCATTAGCCTGTAATTGTCTGCTCCATTGGGCAGGGCACAAACTGTTTGAGTGAGACATGGGCTATTTTTGGACTCTGCATTCATTGCTCTTAATAAGTTACAGGCCTTCTTTTAGCCAGGCAGGACTTTATCCAGCCTCCGCTTTTCCTCTGGTCTCAGGGAACAAAAATAATACCAGGATGCCAAATTGACCTGGTAGCCACAAAGGTGGCGAGGTGGTGGGAAAAGCATGTATTGCACAGCGTCGGAAACAATGCCTGTAAGTAACGCCAGAGCGGAGCGGAAACAGCGTTTCACGCGAAGAAGCAAAGCCGAGAGATGTGGCTGGCCAGCAAGCCCCCCTGCACACTGGCTACGGGGACACGCAGTGGCCAGGAGCAGCCAGCTCCGCCGGACGTTCCAGCCAGCCCCAGCTCCGTTTATTCAAACCAGATGTGTCTGGCAGGCGGCCAAGGCAGGGATCAAGAGAGGTCTGTGCTTGAGCTCAGCAGTAAGATATGCACTGCCTTGCACAGGGAGCTGCCAGCCCCTTTCCGGGCAGGACGGTGGATCCGGTAAGGAGCAGAGCAAGGCTCAAGGGGATGCATGCAACCCCCCAGCTCACTGCCCCAGGCAGCTGGCAGAGATGCAGCGCAGGCTCACAGCTCCCGCAGGGGCCTCCAGGAAGGATCTGGTGGTGCTTTTCAGGACACATGTTCTACAATTGTTCCAGGTTATTGTATTTTCTTTTTTCCTGGCATTTACCCTACGGCTTCCCTAGAAGCCGGCAGTTCCCAGCACACTCCAGGAACCAAGCTCACCCTGCCCAGCAATGGAGGCGATGCACCGACAGGACTGTCCCTCCCCTGCATCGCTCACCCCATGGCCTGTGGGGCTTGAGCTGTTAATGGAGATGCAGGACACTGCCTGCAAGGATTTAAGGGATCCAAGGTCATCATCCAACCCCACGGCCCAAAGCTGGGCTTATGCCCAAGCCCTCTTCCTCCATCCCACACTGCGTCACTCCAAACACCTGGATCAGGCAGCTCCTGTAACCACCAGAGCAGGCAGAGCCCAGCTGGTGTTTCTCAGAAAAGGGATGTTCCCAGTCAGCCACTTCCCTTGATATCATCGTTACCATGACCAAGCAGCAGTAACACGCACAAAAAGGCTCAGTTGCATCTTGTACCCTTAACAGTGGGCAACTCCGCCAGAGGAATCACTCAGAGAAACACACCACAGGAAAGGCAGCGAGCGCAGAGAGCTTTTCCCAAGCTCCAGCACTCTCCCTTTGTGCACGCCACTGCCCAGGCTGCTGCAGAGCGCTTCTCTGCCCAAGCTATTAATACGCACAACACAATGGCCAGAAAACACAGGCAGTGGGATTGTTTTCTGGACCCAGCCAAAACTTCCTCTCCTCTCCCCTCCCTTTCCCCCTATCTCTCCCCTGGCCCTAAAACCCTGCTCCGAGGACTAGGGACCCAGATCTCATCAGCTGAGCCACCTGCCCAGCCTGGAAATTAAGCAGCCAGATATAGGGCTGATCCAATGCACAGGAGGGTATTTTTAGCTCACTTGCAATCAGCCTTCTGCAGCCCCAGGAGAGCCCGTAACAAGAGAATGAAATAAAAGAGAGGCAGCGGCTATTTCTAGCAGTGGTTTTCATCAGGTCAGTAGGAATAGGTTCGGAGAGCCAGAAAGAAGCTTTGTGCCCAGCTTCTCTTTGGACACCAAGAGTAAAACAGGCCCGGAGGTCAGCAGGACAAGGAGGACTTTGTTTGCAGCAGCTGGAGAGCACAGTGAGGTCATGCTGATTTAGCGCGGATGGACTGGATCTTTCCATTAAGACCGAGGTCACTGGCAGGGCTGTTCAGGGAGCTTTGTGATCTCTAGCTATGGACAAAATTGCACAGTGCCTGCACGCTCTCTCCCAGGCCAGGCCTCAACACCACCTGCCTGCCGGTCATCACCTGCAGGGACTGCCTCCAGCCAGGAGAGATCAGCCAGTGAGCGCACAGGCTCACAGACAAGCCCATCTTGCAGCTGGGGTGCTCAGCAGTCACACATGCCCATCTGAGCCCCCATCCCAGACACCAAAGCTTGCACCTCACCCACAACCTCAACTGCCAGGAACCACAGCCTAGACAGCAGCAGTTCAGGAGGCCCAATTCTGCCTTAGGTCTCCCTGTACAACCTGTGCACCTTAAAGAAACTGATATAAGGAAGTGCAGATGAAACATAGCATGCAATCTCCCCCAAAGAGCAGCGGGCCAGGTCAACCCGTGCTGCCTGAGGTACTGGGATCCCTAGCACCGTAGTTGTGCTTGCCAGCGCTCTGGGCCCACCATGGACAAGTTGGGCCTTGGGACCACCAGCAGCATGCACGCAGAAGCAGGCTTTGCAAACCTGGTGTGCTGGCCCCTCTGCCACCACCTCCACTGCTGCTTCTGGTAACCTGGTCCCTGCTGTGGGGTGGAAACTAGGACTCCCCTACAGGGAATTTCCACCTTTATGACAGAAGGAACAGGATAATCCCCTGGGCAGAACTAGTCATAGGGTTTTCCATTTCACCCAAAACTCAGGAATCAATTTATGAATTCCTCCCACATAGCAAGCTCAGCTTTGCCCTTCAAGGATCTGTCCCAACTAGTCACTGCTCTAAATACTAGCACAGAGGCCAGTGTTCCAACAGGGGAAAGGTCTTGCTGAGGCACAGCTCGTCCCTTCAAAGACCCCTCCCTGAGGTGCACCAGGAGGGCAAAGGCCTTCTCATGGGTATTCAAGTGTGCTTTGAAATATCCACGTCTGAGTTTACAAGTTGACATGACAGCACAAACCATGAAACTCGCCATATGAGGGACAAGCAAGACTGGAAGCAAGCAAAAAGAAACCACACTGACACGTACTTTATCTCCAATGGTAATGAAAGTTCTGGAGTCCAAGTTCCTCGGAGGTCTGCAAGAAAAGAAAGAGAGAGTCAGCAGAAAGCACAGCTTCATTAATTCTCTTTGCCAAAACCAGGTTTCACGTTCCGTTCCTTCAAGCACTTTGAGCCACTGCTTTCCACGGTGCCTCGTCACTATGGGTTCAAATCAGCCCTCTCCAAACACTCACAAATGCTTTAATTGTGCAAGTAATACCTCAGCCCACACCGACAAAGCATTTGCTGAACACAGCCAGCAAGAACCCAAAAGAGTCAGTTAGATCAGGCAAAATCAACAGGCTAAGAAATCATCTCTGCTCAGGAGGCGAGCCTCAGGAACAGACATTGATCAGATGAGGTGTTTCTGCAGAGCAGCTCAGCTGTCATGTTTTGACAGGCAGGTGTTGTAACAGTACAGCCACGCAGCTTGAAACACACGCCCAGAAAACAACAGGTAATTCCTCAAGCATGAGTCATTTGTGTACACTTGAAGGCCTATTTTAGTCAGCTTGGCACGCAGAGAAACCTAGCATTTTACAGTGCCACACTTCACACGACACCATGCAGGTGAAAGTCTTCCTTTATGGCTTTTTCCTCATTGCTGGCCACTTCCCATTACTTGTAGCATGGTACTTTTACAGCTGACGTTAGCTTCTTGTCTCTTGTGCCTTGCTTCTATGCTCTCCCTACCTCCTGGGACCTTGAAAGAGTGGGAATTGCCCAATTTGTTTGGCCTTCTAATTCCCATCAGAGCAATAAGGCAACCTCCAGCCTCAAGGAAGTACTCAGTCTCACAGCGAAAGCTTTGCACTGTGCAAATATTTGCATTAAATCTTGGAAAGTTCAGAGAAAAGAAATTGTGGATACTTGGCATCAGCCTTCTCAGAAGCGCTCTGGGCATGCAAGCGCCCAGCAAACTCAGGCCTGACACTTTCTCCAGGGGAAGTTCAAACACTGATAGGAGCAGAGAGAGATGCAGCCGCAGGGGGAAGGAGGTGGCTGTTGCACGCAGGGCTTGGAGTGTGCATGCTATTCTGGATAGTCCTAAGGGACAAGTTGCCCTCCCCAGCTGATTTGTCCTACCTGAGTTTTTAGGTAGTGATAGTTCTCCTTTGGGGATTTCACTGCTCTCCTGGAGCTGGGGTGGCCTCTCAAGAGGGTTTCTGGAGCAAACAAGGCTCAACAGTGGGGACACAGCCCAAGGTGTTTTGGAAGAGCACGTGGAAGGGGAATTTTAGTTGTCTGCTCTTTGTCAAACTGAGTGCTGCTATACTTGATTCTCCTCCCCCAGCACAACAAGCATCAGACACAGGAAACAAACAGGGCAGAGAAATTCCAATGCCCTGAGATACAGCTAGGCATTGGCCCCTGGCACCAAGCAGTACGTGCCAGAACACCACAAGATGCTCTGTGCTGTCCTTGCACCAAGGCAGGGAGCTGCGAATGATGCATAGGTCAGGAGGAGGACGTCATGCCACAAAGGACATCTTCCCACCCCCATTCTCCTACATCTGCTTCAGTCCAGCTGCCACCATCTCTTCTCTTCCCCTGTACTAAAAACCTTCTCCCCATCTGTCCCAGAGAAGGAAGGCACATTTACCCTCTTCACCAAGCCTTTGTCTCTTGGCATCAGCAGAACTGTAGAAGGAAGACAAAAGAAAGTCTCCTAGCAAGGCCTTTGCCCTTCAGCTATTTCAAGTCAAAGAGGCTCCTCCCAGAGAGGCATACCCTGGGTATGTGTGTGCGTGCACATGTGCATGCGTGTGCAATTCCTTGTCATCATCTGCAAGCCATAACTTAAGGGGGGGAAAAAAAAAAAAAGAGAACACCCTAATTATGCTGATTTTTTAAAGTCTACACGGGCCTTTCCCCTTCTTCCCCATCAGCCAGCTCTGAATCCAGATGTTCCACAGAACCGCAGGTTGGCTTTAAGCAGCAGAGACGCTTACGTCGTGTTGGCAACAGGCTGCTTGATGGTGAAACATGGTATCCTCAATTCCCGTTTCTTCTTGCTCTTCACTAGGAGAGAAAACGTACATGTGAGGGACAGACCTTTTTACTTATTTCTTCCTTCAAGCAATCTCTCGCCCACAGCTACCAGCTGGCTAGGCCCAGCAGCGCTGCAGCCCCGCTCCATTCAAACTCAACTGAACTGCTCTTTTGCAAACTCCCTCTTCCCATAGCAATGGCCCTGTCCTTCCACCCCTACAGAGCTGCAGGAGCTTAAGCAGTTCCAGAGCCCAAGCGAGCCTGGATGCAGTAAAAATTCCTCCTGGCACAGACTCAGGGCTAAACTCCAACTAGGGGAGTTTGGGGCTGAACCTCTCGCATTGCATAGCTACAGCAAGGTTACATGACAAGGCCACTGTGCTCACACCCATTGCCCAATGTTAGAGGCAACAGTCAGAAGCACAAGTGGGTCTCGACACCCCTGCTGAAAACTTGCCCTGCTAGGACCATTTTGCGGGTGCCTTAGCCAAGTACTGCCTTGCAATGCTCCTCAGCCATCCCAGCAGTGCTCTTAGTCCCCACCGTGGCCATTAACAGTCTCTCCTCCTTTTGATTTGTAATTGCTGATGTTTAGGAGATGAGTTAAAGCTGCTATTTTTGCTGGGCACTAACCTGGTTTGTGCGGCTCCAAGGATCCTTTGGAATCTGAAAGAGATGGAGGAGAGACCCTGCGTCAGTTTTCATGCGCCAGAAAAGCCAGGTACAAATCGGATCCCTCACAGTCCCACATAAGGTCCAAGAAAAACAGTCCCGATTGCATATTCTGTCGGAAGAGAAAGATAGGGCTCCGAAGGAGGGCAGGAGCCCCAGCAGACTGGGTCCACCCCAGTTTGTCCACCACAAGAGGTCCCCATGCCATTAGTGATAAGCAGGGCTCCAGAAAATGTTCCACATTCCCTAACTCCTCCTTTCCCCACAAGATCCCAGGCTCCCATCCAGGACTTCTTGGCAAAAGACAGACCCATTTTTCAATGCATTAACAATCCCACGGCCCCCTGCTCTCTAGTGCATGTTCAGGCACCACCCTGCCACACACGGCTGACGCGATCCGGTGTGCAACGCCGCTATGCAGAGCCCTGGCGCTCTTTGCGCTCTCCAAGCATCTCCCTGCAGGCCTGCAGGGACCAGGGCATTGCAGCCATGAGGCGGGGGGCTGGCCGGCCTCAGGTCGCAGCAGCCACCTGCATGCATCAGCTCTGCTCCGCTTCGGCAGGGGGGCAATTGCTACCAGACCTCAAACAAAACCAAGGAGCAACTCACATAGTGAGAGAGGACACCCCACACACATACCCAACAAAGGGAAAACTGTATGAAAACACATGGTCCTATAGGAGCTGAATATCTAAGAGACTCTAGAGAATCAGCTGAAAAACCAGGACCGGCTTGCACAGGCTGAGACCATTGAGATGAGGCACAATCCCATCAGGGGAGACTAGCGAGAGGATGCTCTCTTCCCGCTCCTCCCCAGGCACCAACTCCAAACAGCAGCAGATAGAACATAACCCCTTACAGAAGAGGGAGATCAGGCAGGCCAAACACTTGAAGACAAAACCACAAGAACAAGAGATAATGAACAAAGGGGTCCAACAGGCAGGAACAGGCAGACATGACCTGCACCGGGTCCAGAATCAGTTCCCTGCTTGTGCCACAGCCCTCGGGCCGCTACCCCAAGCACTCAGGGCAAACAAACCTCCCTGCAGATCACAAGGGACTGGGATGCTGGGGTCCTGCATCCACAGCATGGAAGAGGGCAACAAGAGGCGTGTGCTAGCAGCTCCTGGCGCGCATCTGCACCGGGATCCAAAAAGCTGGTCGTTCTTGAGGGACCGCAGACAGCACAAGCAACACACTCCAGCAGTGGCCCTCAAAGCTTGCTCGTGGACAGCTTTTCAAACCATGATCACACCTTAACCAAGCTCCTCAGGTTTCTTGTGTATTTTCTGCTAGGAGGGAATTGGGAGCAATCCAGCTTAACTGTATGCAGCCTTCCCCAGTGGGAGGCCTGGATGGAGGCTGAAATGAGACACAGCTGCTGACACAGCCAAAGCCCTGCTTTGCTACCCCGAACCCTCTCAACAGGGATAGAGGGCCAGCTGCGGTTTGCAGCCAAAGGTGCTTCCAGCCACCTTGACCTGGAAGACACATTAAAAAGCAAGAGCTGCAAGGTGTGCTCCAAGCACAGGGCTGGGGAGCAGGGAGTTCCCAGCACCATGTGGCCTTGGGCAGGCTCCCTGTGAACTGGAAACGGCCCCTACCTGCCTGGCTCCCAGGGACGCCCATGCGGACAAAGTTCAGCGCTTTGAACGCTGCTGGGAAAGGGAGCGGAGAGACAAGGCACCTGGACTTCAGCAGGCAGGAGGGGAGATGCAGCACATCGGCTCTGCACGTGCCTGGCAGGAGAACTCCTGCAGCACCAGCGAAAAGGCCTCCCCAGGCTGGCTCACACAGACGATATCCGCACAGCGTATCGCCAGCACAAACAGCTCCTGGGCCTGTCCCCAGCCAGCTTCAGAGGCCTTGGCTAAGACACATGCTTGAAACCCACTTTTCCAGTCCCGTCCTCCTCTAGATGCAAACCTTGTTGAGGGAAAGCCGATCTGCAAGTTACTGCTGAGCCACTGGAGAGGCCCTGCTGGATTCAAACCGCTGGCCCAGCCACCAGTGAGCTTCAGACCAGCACCGTTGTCACCTTACGCTACAAACAAAGAATTATAGCAGGGAGGAAGTTTTGTCCAGGATCCGCGCATCAGAGTTGTTGCTGGATCGTGAAGGCTGCTCCTTTGCTGCCACAGTGCTCCTGCCTCCTGCTCTGGGAGCCCAATACAGCTATTCCCCCGCAGCGTTCGAGGTGATCCTTCGAGCCATTGCTCTGGGAGAACCGCCTCCACACCTCTCTTCCCCACAGGCTGCTCCAGGGAATGCCCAACTTTGGCTAGAGGGTCTCCAGTAGTTGCTCCCTGCCTTGGGACACACCACTGATGTTATTAACCCCTGGCCAGAGGCAATGAAGCACAGGACGGTGCTCTCCATCCCGTTTCAGACACAGTCCCGTTTCAAAGGTCTGCAGGCCACCTCGGTCAGCTCTGTTTCTTGGCCACGCAGCTAACGGCTCTCACCCACCCTGCTCTCCCGCCCCAAGATCCCAATCGCAAGACAAGCGGCCTTCCTCCCTGCTGAGGGAATCAGGACTGATCCATCAGTGCCCCCGCGTTATCCATCTCCTTTCCGGCATCAGAGCCAGCCCGTGTGATCTGGTACCAGCACAGTTCCCACAAGCTACACGA